TCAATTTTTGTTGTTTTATTTCTAACTCTTCAAATAACTCGAACTTATTATGATTTTTAATATAATAAAAAAATATTTAAACTATAAATATATTTTAAAAATTAGTGATTTTTGTGATAGTTATTAGATTTTTATGTATGATATCAAATTAATCATCTTTTAAATTTCGATTTAATGTATATAATAAATTAAGTTATCGACATATATATAATTTCTGAATGTACTGAGCTTAAGTGACAGGCTAGCATGTTTCGGGATCTTATAGGTGTCAAAATTTAATGTTTCATTGTTTGGTTTGGATAAATTTTAATTTAATTTTAGTTCCAAAATAATTAAAGTCCGGATTACCATAAATATGTTGATTTATTTATGATCATTTTAGATATATTAATGTATCTTAATATCATTTTTTATTATAACAGTTGAATTATAAATGTATTTTAAAAGTTGATAACTTTCGTATTTCTTATCGGTTTTACATATAAAATATACCAAATTAATCGTCTTTTAATGAACTTCGATTCCATTTGTACATATAAAATAAATAAATTATATTTATCTTTATAATAATAATAAATTATTTATTAAAATTAATTAAAAAAATTAAATTATTTTTTCAATTATTATACTTATGTTTAATGTAATTATATGTTATAAGTTTGAAAAATTATTATAATATAACACGGGTAAGTCGCACAAGTAATAAGTGTCATACTAAAATATATAATAATATATATTTTTTTATAAAAAATATTTGAATTTTCAACCACTTTTTTCTCATTAATTTTAAATTTTAAGAAAAGAAAATTAGCAAGCACCCGTGTCATACGGGTGTTGTACTAGTCTATCAATATTAATCAAAAAAGAATATAATTACTTATCAATTAAAGAAACTTACCTATCAAGTTCATTATATACTATAAATTCGAAAACCTCTTACAATATCAGAAGAGTAACTAATGTCATTTTAATACAAATAATAATGTAAAACTTATTTAGAAATTATTTGAAACTTAAAACAAAAAGAATGGGTGCTAATTTTTATTCTATTAAATATAACATTAATAATATTTACCCTGCATTCCACGAATAACATTATTAACTTTATATATCAATATGCCACCACATTTTTCAACAGAATTCACCTCTAAGCATAACATGATAAAACATTTACTTAAGTGCATTCATTATGCCAAAAAATTGAAAATCTTTTAACAGCTTTCAGACCAGAGGCTTCTTTTCTTCATCCTCCTCATTTCCTAATTCGAATCTTTCATCTTGATTATGAGAGGATGATGAAATTTCAATCCCGGGCCGAGAATTCAAGGCTACGGGCCGATTTGTGGGCTTGCTATCAGGCAACATCTTCAGTATAATCCCCATTGCAATCAGCAATAGACCGGTCCCGTGTTGTTCGGTCAATGGTTTCGTGAAGATCATGTACGAAAGTAGTAAAGTCACCGCCTTTCTAGCTGTGGTCACCTGTTAATTTTTTTTTTGGTTAACCATAGTTAATTTAAAAAAAAAAAATGTGGTATAGTTAATTGTTAGTGGAATTTTGATTTTATATCAAAATAATATTTGAAATAAAATCTATATATATATAAAGAGGGAGTTGATGGAATTTATTGCTAAATATAGATGATATGCAATGACTATAATTGGCAACATTTCTACATTTGGTTGGATAATTGTAATTATAAGGTTAATTATTTTTGTTAAGAATGCCAAATAATTATGGAAAATACATTAACATAACTAAATTCGTATTCAATTATTATTGGTAAATTTTAGGAATGGAAAATTATAATTATAAGTTAACTTACTCAATTCATTATGATTGGAAATATATTAATATTCTTTTACTATATATTTAAAAATATATAGCATCGACTCAGCCATATTCCAATCACTTGATACCTTAAATATATTTACTATCATGAACACTACATATGTCATTATTATGTTTTTTAAGGCAACATTATTAGTTTATGCTAACATTACCATACGCCTTAGTTTATTCTAACATTACGCATAGATCCAAAAACATGTTAAAAAGAATATTTA